TAATATGAAAGGTGGTTGAGCATTTAGCAAACATGGCCTCCTAAGTACTTGTTCAAAGCACTTCAGCATAACATGATTTTACATATTTTATCCACACAGCAGAATCAGCCTCCCCTGGATTGTACCATATAGATGGAGGGACTGTGGATAGGGAAATGAACTTCATTTAACTCACACCTGCATTCATAACTCATGGGTAACTGGAATTAGTGTTGACTCACAGTTCTTAGCACAAGAAGGGAGTGTGAGCTTCAAGAGTCTAACAATAAACTCACTTTGTGCACATTTGTCTTTAACTGCAGTTATATTTTTAATTCTAATAGCAAATTTGGCTAAATCTGAGGATACTTAATTCTGGTGATCTTTCTACAAACCTGAAAAGAGCCCCAGGTTTGCAGAAAAATCAGAAATCTAAAATAAATACATTTCAGGGGTTAAAAAACCCAAAATGATAAAAAGAGTACCTATAGCTTTAAGAAACAGAAGTTCTCACTGGCTGTTGTTAGGCAACCACAGCATTCTAGGCTCAGTTTTTGTCAGTAAAAGGCAGGGTGGGGTCAGGGCCCTTTCCCAGACTGTTTTGGCCTTTGAGGGTGGACTTATCAGGGCCAGATCTGGCAGCAACCACAGGGTGATTTGATACCACCTCTCTGCATGACTCACCTAGGCCTGGCTCCTTGATACTGTTCAACAGCAGCCACCCTATGAAAGTCAGTGTGGTATAGCAGTTAGAGCTTCACACTAGGGTCTGGGAGACCCGGGTTCAAACCACCAGTCTGCCATGGAACTTCACTAGGCGATATAGGGCCAGTCATAAACCTTTGGCCTAACATACCTCACAGGATTGTTGTGAGGATAAAAAGAAGAGGTAGGGTTGCCAACCTCCAGGTGATGGCTGGCAATCTTCTGGGACTACAACTGAGATCCAGGTGACAAAAATAAGTTCCCTTGGTGAAAATAGCTGCTTTGGAAGATGGGCTCTGTGCCATTATACCCCTCCCCAAGTCTGAAGTCTCTCGTCTCACCAAACCCCACCCTTCCCAGACCCCAAATCTCCAGAAATTTCCCAACCTGGAGCTGGCAACCTCAGCAGCAGAATGATGTAAGGTTCCTTGGCCCCCACTAAGGAGCAATGTAGAATACAAATGAATAAAATAAATAATAAACATAGCTGGAAATGGAAGGCAGAGCGAGCACAAGTTGGTGAATGGCTGAGGAAGAGAGAATGAGACAGGGAAAGGGCAAAATATGGGGGGTGGGGGATAGCCAGGAGGAGGGAAAAAGGAAATAATATAAGGAGAGGTATACAGAGGAAAGTGATGTGCCCCCACCACAAGTCCTCGAGGGTTCCCTTCCATTAGGCTTACCAAACGCCGGCGGGGGAAATCTATTTCCTGGCAGGATGCGTGCCGCGGGGGACGGCTGTGCGCGCTGCACCCGCCGTCGCCAGGATGTGACGCTCCGCGTTACTCTGGCAACGGGGCTGTTTGGGTCCCGTTGCCAGGGTAACGCGGAGCGTCACATCCTGGCGACGGCGGGTGCAGCGCGCACAGCCGTCCCCCGCGGCACGCATCCTGCCAGGAAATAGATTTCCCCCGCCGGCGTTTGGTAAGCCTACCTTCCATGCAAGTGGGCCTTTCCCGGCAGCCAGGGCCACACAACTAGGCATTAGTTTTCCTAGGTAGAGGCAGCAGGGGGGCAGCTGAAGATGGGGGGGGAGGAGCAGATAAGGGTAGATTGGCTGTTGGATAACATGGAGAGAAGGAAGCAGGGAAATGGTAGCAGCTCTGGTGGCTTTCAGGAAAGGAAAGAGAAAATAGTGGGGGAGAAAGGAATTAGATGGTCTCCTTGTGGGTTCCCACTTGTCTATATATGAATAGTCAAGTCAGCCAAATCACTAGGGTTGCCAACTCTTCTTACCCGTCTCGGCGGGGTAGCGTCCTCGGAGTCCGGGAGTTGCTCGACCCCGCCCCCCAAGCTGCGTCACCAGAGGTGACGCAGCCACGTTGCCGACGTTGGGGGCGTGGCTGAGCTCGTCGGAGGGAAAAAACCATATGGTTTTCCCCTCCAACGAGCTCAGCCATGGCCCCAACGTCGGCAATGTGGCTGCGTCACCTCTGGTGACGCAGCTTGGGGGGCGGGGTTCCCCCCGGGCCGGAATTCCCCTGCGCCGGAACTCGGGCAGCAGAAGCGGGGGATTCCCCGCCCCCCGGCCCGATTTGGCAGCCCTACAAATCACTGTATACTTAAATCTGGTGGCTCGAGCTGTGAACCAGCAAGACAGATTTTTCTACAAACCTGAAAAGGGCCTCTGGTTTGCAGGAAAATATGGGATCTAAAAAAACAACTACAAAACACTGGGGAGGGGGTTATAATAAAAACAAATTAAAATAAAAGGAGTTGTGAAGAAATACATTTTTCTCTCAAAATTTCAAGAAGTTTCTCTCTCTTGGGAGAAAACAAGCAGGAAAGAGGAAAGCCAATATTGGCCCCGGTCACATGGAGCATTTGCCCCGCTGAAGGCACGGGAGTCCCGCAGAGTATCCGGGCGCGATCACACGGGAACATATGGGAGGCGTAGCACTCCCGTGGTGAACCTATGGCAAGCCGCCAAAGCTGCGCAGTAAAAAACTAGCACACTGCATGTACTAGCAAACGCTTTGCCACGGGCCGCCTATGGAAGCCTCCTGGTGTGATTGTGCCATCACGCGGTTTCCTCTCCCATCGTCCTCTTTGCTGCAGGGAAGCCGCCATCGCGTCTGATCGCATAATGCGACGACGCAAATAGCTGCGCTCCCCCCCTGCGTTTTCCGGCACGTCTGGCCGGGGCCTCAATTGCTTTTCAGCTTCACCTCATCCACACTTGGCATGGTCCAGTTCCCCTGCACACCCAAGCAGGGAACAGAGGTTTAGAGGAATTAAGTACCAGAAAGACTTCAGGAAGAAACTCCTGGAGACTTCAGGAAAAGATTCTTTGACCTGGCCTGACTTGGTCAGTGGGAGCAGAAAGAGGCATGATAAAACTCCTGGAAGCAAGGAAGAAGGGAGAGAGAAGCCCCTCCTGGTCTTTGGAAAACCTTGGAGAGTAGTGTGGAACAGGGCCTGCAGGTCAGAGCAGGACCTTTTTGCCACAGGAGCACTTGTAGCTTTAAAAAAAATTGATTCCCTTAATGGCTGTTGTTAGGCAACCACAGCATTCCAGGCTTCAGCTTATGTGAGTAACATGCAGGGGGCTGGTACAGGGCAGTTTCCAGGATCATTTTGGCCTTTGAAGGAGGACTCATTGGAGTCTTGGGCTAGGGTTGCTGGCTCCAGTTTGGGAAATTCCTGGAGATTTTGTGGTGAAGTCAGAGGAGTGCAGGTTTTGGGGAGGAGAGAGGTCTCATCATGGTAGAATACCATAGAGTTCACCCTCCAAAGCAGCCATTTTCTCCAGGAAGACAGAGCTCTATTGACTGGAGTTTAGCTGTAATTCATGGAGATCTCTAGGTCCCAAAATGGAGGCTGGCAACCCTAGGTCTGGCAGTACCCTCTGGGCAACTTGATACTCCCTGAACTGCATGACTCAACTAGGCCTTACTGCTTGCTACTGTTCAACAGCTGCCTCCCTATGAAAGCCACTGTACTGCAGTGTTTAGAGCTTCAGAGTAGGGTATGTGAGACCCAGGTTCAGATCCCCGTCTTGCTGTGGAAGCTGACTGGGTGATTTTGGACCGGTCACATACATTCCGTCTAACCTACCTCACAGGGTTGTTAGGCAGATAAAAAGCAGGAGAGGAGAATAATGTAAGCTGCTTTGGTCCCCACTGTGGAGAATGACCATAGTTCTCCTTGGTAAAGGATGCAGAAGGAAAGGAGATGGAAAGTTGAAGACAGGGGCAGATGAAGGTAGACTAGCTGTTGAGTGGGAACGAGATAGGGTTGCCAGCTCCAGGTTAGGGAATTTTTGGAGATCTGAGGGGTGGAGCCTGGGAAGCATGGGGTTTGAGGAGGGGAGGGACCTCAGACAGTTATAATGCAGTAGACTCTACCTGCCAAAGTAGCCATTTCCTCCAGGAGAACTGGCATTACCAACCTCTAGGTGAGGGCTCGAGATAACATGGGAGAGATCAGTTCCCCTGGGGAAAATGGCTGCGTTGCGGTGGTAGAGTCTATGGCATTTTACCCTGCTGAAGCCACTTCCCTGCCCAAACCTCACCCTACCAAGGCTCCATCCCCCAAATCTCCAGGAATTTCCGAATCTGGACCTGGCAACCCTAAGAGGAAACTGATCTCTGTAGCTGGGAGATCAGCTGCGATTCCTGGAGAGCCACCGCTGCCACTGTTTGTGTGTGTGGGGGGGGGAGCAGATGGGCAGCTGAGAGAGCTAGGGCTGCCAAGCCATGGCGGGGGATCCGCACGTCTTCACAGGATCCCTGCCGCGGGGGACAGTGATACGCATTGCACCGCCGTCGCCAGGATGTGACGCTATGCGACGCGTAGCATATCCTGGCGACGGCGGTGCAATGCATATCGCTGTCCCCCGTGGCAGGGATCCTGTGAAGGCGTGCGGATCCCCCGCTGCGGCTTGGCAGCCCTAGAGAGAGCCACTAGCACCACTGCTGCTGTAGGGAGTGTGGAAGCAGGTGGGAGGCTGGGGCAATGATGAGGGGGTAGAAAGAGAGAGTGATGGGGTGGGGGGCAGAAAGAGAGAGAAAGAGTGATGGGATGGGGCAGAAAGAGAAAGAGTGATGAAGTGGGGAGGCAGAAAAAGAGAGGGATGGGTGAGGGCAGAAAGAGAGAGGAAGTGGCAGGCATGGAGGAGAGAAAGTAAGAACTGTGATTAGGTTAGCAGCCAGTTAACTTAATGGCTTCACTTCTGAGTAAACATCACAGGTGGCTAAGGGCAGAGAGTTACAGTGTTTGAAATGCAAATTCAGTGCTGTGTTTTCCACCTCTCTCTCCAATCCTTTGCTTTCATGAACCAGGAAAACATATTCTGCAATGATCTAGAGATTTACCATGATGCTGTAGATCCGAGCAGTGTGTAAGAGGATCCCCATTCCGAATATCTTGCCGTCTTGTGCGTCTGAAAGAAGAAAATGAGAAAATCAGATTAATTTCCAGTGAGTTTTTTTTTAAGGTTAAAGGATTTTTTTTTAATGGTTAAAGATGAACTGCCTGGTCCTAACAACTGCATGATGCACAGACATTTTCCTGGCCAAGGAATAACTGTTGGGAAAGTGTTCATATCGGAGCAAAAGGCAAGAGCTCAGAAAAGCTGGGAAGCTACACTGCCTTGTGGCCTGCAGCATTTGTGGCACTCAGGGTGGCACTCTGAAAAGCCTAAAGACAGTTGCACCAACACTGCCAAGTTTCACAGATTACCATTTATAGAAGGACCATCCTTAAAACACACAGATTTTAAAAATGACTAATGAAGCACAAGAAAGGATCATCAATAAATTGAGGGGGGGGGGGAATCTGAAATGCCACAGGCCAATATTTATTACATTAGAAAATCCCAGATCCCGAAGCACTGCTAACCAAAAGCTCCTTTTCAGATGAAAAGGGCTGCCAAGGACCTTATTCTCTGCCCATGTGAAGTATGGAGATACTGGGATCCTCTAAGAAATACAACCATGACTATTTTCCCCCTCCCCTCCCCTAAATTGCTATCCAAGTGAGCTCAGTTGCACCAAGACTAGGATTCTTCTTGTTTTGGGTGCTGTTATGGGATGAGGGGCAGATGGCAGGGATAATGTGACAATTATGGTGATAGACTGTCATGAAAAGCCATTTTTCCTATTTCAGTGGCTTTATAAAAATCTTGGTTCAAGCTCTGAAAGAGGCCTACATAGAAAACTTTCCCTAGAGACAGAGATAAGAAGAGGTGCTGTGACCTTGGTAGATTGCTTTCAGCTGGCTGGTACAGTTTGTAACTGCCCGGGAAGCAACCAGCCCAACTAAGCACATTCCAGAGCTATTGACTTCTTAGCACCTGTGCGGTGGAGTGAATGGGCCCTTAATTGGATAAGTTTTGTTTTCTCCTCTGCTCATAGTATTATGGGATGCTTTAACCCTAGCAACAGTGAAAAGATTACATCACTTTTCTGGTCTGTGACTAGGGTTGCCAAGTCCATCTTCCACCCCCAGTAGGGGACTTTGGGGGCATTCCTGGAGGGGGTGGGGCATCCCTGATGTGATGACATCACGTTGGGGACATCCGCCGCGCCCCCACCCGCGTGTGCACAGGATCTCCAGAAACACCAGTTCCCTGTACTTAAAGGAGCCGGCGTTTCCCCTTTAAGAGCAAAGAGCCGCGTTTCCCTTTTAAGTGCATGAAGCTGGCATTTCCCTGCAAGCCTGATCTCAAGCGGAGATCGGGCTTGGGAGGAAACACGGCCTCCATGAACTTAAAGGCAGCCACCCCTCTCTCTCAAGAGAGAAGGTAGACGGGTGGCTGTTGGGGGCGGGGCTTCTCTTACTGGCCATCTGGCCGGCAGCGGGTAGAACCCCCCCAAAATGGGGGACTCCTGGCAAACCGGGGGGGGGGGGGTTGGCAACCCTATCTGTGACTGGTCAAAGTCCTAGGCTGGTCAGAGACCCCTTTTTCTATAAAATAAGGTTTCATTCTGTGGAATGGTGGTGCCTAGGAACTATGGGGCCTTGCGTTGTCAATAGTTCCAAAGCAACTCAGCAACTGGCATTCCCTTTTTGACTCTGCCTGGATGGGCTGATTGAAACATCTTGTTATGTTGGACTACTGCATCTCTTTGTAACCTGAAAAGGTAACTCTGCAACTGTATTGTAAGTTTTAGTTATGCTAGTTATGCTTAGAGTTTATTATTTTTCCTTCACTGTCTAAAGTCTTGTTTTTATATAAGTTTGCACCTCCTTAAAGCAATTATATTTTTACTCTGTCGTGGTATTTGTGCTCCTTGAACCTCAAAGGCTTAATTCATTGCCTTAGCCTCTTGACCCCTGCCAAAAGTAACTGTTTGTTCCTGAGCTCAGTCTGTAGTTTCACTCTGCAGGGCTGACCTTGTGTATTAAGTTCCATAGCCAGTCTGGAAGTTTGGTCTTTTACTCCAGGACTGTTGGGAACCACTAAAAGACCTGGTGGTGGACTATCTGATGCTTGAGGGGGATTTTAGATTCTCTTGAGTAATTTGTAATTTTGCTGTGCAACCTGTTCTCTGAACCCAAACATTTTGACCCGGAGGGGTTAGCGTTTGTGACATGGACAGGGTAGATGGCATCCCAAAGACTGGCGTAGTATTGGAAAGATAAACTTCACAGGATAGAGACTGTAGTTTACAACCCAAAGGGAAAACACACCAGCTCTTTGAAGTGTTAACATCCCTCAATTGGCTGCCCTGCTTCTAGCGGGCTTGAACTCCAGCACCTGGCACCTGGCACCAATGTTCCCTCTAAGCTGTGGAGTGTTGTGACCAAAAATTCCACTTTGTGAGCTACTGGCACTAAAGTTGTGAGCGAGCAATTTGGCTACTGCATACATTCATTTGCTCTGGAGCCATCCTTCCTGAGCTAAGACAAAAATGTGTGAGCTGGAGGCTAAAAAACCGTGAGCTAGCTCACACTAACTCAGCTTAGAGGGAACAGTGCCTGGCACTCAGATTGGCTAATGCCCTCTCAGGGATCTAAAAAGGGGAGCCGTTCCTTTGTTTGGGGTACAGAGAGAGAGAGAGAGCTAGCTAGATAGATAGATAGCGAGAGCGCTAGATAGAGAGACAAAGGAAGGTTCAAAGTGAGTGATGAAGGAGTATGTTGCTAGCAAGTACAGCCCTGGGGAGGGGTTAACTATACATGTAACAGCCAGCCTCCCTCTGAGGCTGCACCAGATGTTCAAGGATTGTAAGTTAACTAGCAAGTAACCTTCCTTTCATTTCTTTTTTATTTTGCTTAGCTCTACCTGGAACTATCTTGTAGTCATCAATGAGTTTGTGCCTAGTGGTTACTAAAGTTGTTCAGCTGAGGAGCCTTACATATTTTGTAAGATCCCCCTTAGGTATAAGATCCCCTTCTGGTTAACACCAGATAAGAGAGGTAATTTAATTAACCCAGGGGTACTGGAGATATGAGAACGCAAGAGTAAATTTTTGCCCCCAGCATTCTAACAGAGCTGCATGCCAGTGAGGGGAAGTCTGTAGGAGAAAGCACCTCTACATGGTGGCAGCAACCATTACAGGTGCACTTTTGCTTAGAGGCAAGTCCTTCCTTTCGTTTTTCAGAGCTCCTCTGAGCAGCAGATCTTGAGTAATAATTGAAAGAGTACTCAAGTAGTTTCTAAAGGAAAATATGATAGACAAGAATTTAGCAACCTAAGGTTATAGTCGGATCACTGTCTAGCATCAGATAGGGAATAACATCACTTTGTGAATTACTGAACAATAAATATGGTAAAAGAGGTAATATCCATTGATTACTAAAAACAGCAGAAAAGAAACATTCCAGAATTTTATGAGATAAATTATCAATTTTATCCACGCCACATGGACAAAGGTGATCTGAATGTGGAAAATTACAAAACCTCCCAGACAATACTCCCACACAATACTAGAGCAAATGCCCTAGCATAACAAAGAACTGTTAAATATCTTTTCTAGGACAGCAAGGACCAAGGTGGTAAAATGACAAAGAATTGGGTCCAACAAACTCTACGAGCATGAATTACCATGCTATCATAATTGATCTTGGTGAGATAATGCTTGACAATATTGAGGTTCCCTGCCTTAACCAGCTGGAGAACGTCTTCTAAAGTAAGGCCCAGATGCTGTAATCTAGTGTCAACGGTCTTCATTCATATTGCGTAATAGGCATCTTGTTTGAGAGAAAACAGCAATCCATCTGCTTCTACAGCAAAGATAGTCTTTATGCTAAGCTTAAAAGCACTAAGCCATGCTCTAGCTTCCAATGACTTTTGGCCTAGTTTAGCTCTGAGAGAAACATCCGAAATACATTGAGGGCCACCCATTATCCTATGCAGAAACTAACAAAGGAGATGACCGAAAGATCCTGAGATTACCAGATAGTAACACCATAAAGTAGCTGTGAAATTATTTTTGACTTGAACACCTGAATAGTACCAGGGATATAGCTTGCTCCCCTAGAGAAAAAAGAAAGTTAAGATCGCTCCACTTAAATTTATTTACTGCAAACTTAAGCTAAGGAGACTAAGAAAGGTTTGATGAGAAAACAATTCCCAAGTAACAAAACTTCCTAACTTATTCAATATGAAAGTTTGCTACGACCCATTTAGAAAGTCTTAAATTGCTATTTTTGGAGAAAACCAGTATTTTAGATTTATTGTAGTTTATTTGCAACTCCTCTTCTAAACAGCAATTTGAGAAATGTCTCTTTAGAGGGATCTCAGTATGAGAAATAAGAACAGAATCATCAGCATAAAGGAGTAGTGGTAATTCTTTTGAAGCTAATCTGGGAGCATGAAACTCTGAAGGCTCAATATCAGATCATTTAAATATAAATTAAGAGGGAGGGGAGCAAGCAAACAACCTTGTCTAAACCCCCTATCAAAACTAAAACTGTTTGAGACTTTCCTCTTGTCACCACATTGAATCTAATGTCTTTCGATGAACTTGAATACATTAAAGGGAATAAAGTATCATCAGCATTAAAGCCCAACCAAGTAGCCAATAAAGCTTCATTGTCACTTCCAGTTCTGGCATTAAAGTCATCTGCTAAAATAACCATCATGTCTGGAAGAGTCCTTGGAGGCAAGTAATACAATAACAAGAAGCACTTACACTCAAGTAAACCTGCACAGGATTGGGCTGCGTGTCTGGAGAACAGGCTAGAGATAATTGGGATGTATGACTCATCAGGAGAGTGATCTTTGAATGACTGACCTCTCTAGATGTGCTGGGGAAATGTTCATTTGTCTGCAGCAGGCCTGGGAGCAGAGTGGGGAGACCTTGATCCTCCATATTGCCTGACTGTCCCAGAACAGCTAAACAAACAAATTCTCTTTCAATCTGGCAACCCTGTTAGCAAATCTGATTTTCAATTCTGGCTTTGTTTCCATTGTTTTTCCACCCCGCCAGTCACCCAAGAATGAAGAAGAGATTGGATTTATACCCTGCCCGTCATTACCCGAAGGAGTCTCAGAGCGGCTTACGAACTCCTTTCCCTCCCCCTTCCCACAGCAGACACCCTGTGAGGTAGGTGGGGCTGAGAGAGCTCTGACATAAACTGTTCTTTTTCAAGAACAGCTGTGCCAGAACTATGGCTTGCCCAAGGTCATCCAGTAGGTACAAGTGGAGGAATGGGGAATCAAACCTGGTTCTCCCAGATTAGAGTCCACGCCCCTAATCACTACACCAAACTAGCTCTCAATGGATGGATATTGCTCCTTCAGAATGGATATTGCTCCTTCAGTTCTACAAGTTCCATTTTCCTAGTGCCAGTTGAAGTCCAACCCACATAAACATAGCACTCCCTGGGTAGACTTGAGGTAGGGGGAGCAGAGAAAGAAAGCAACTTTAACTTTAAATGCATTTCAAAGCCCCCCTCCCACCAGCCGGCTTGGAGAAGGCATTTGTCTCTTTAAATTCCTTCTCCAAGCCAGCTGGCGTGGGGAGCAGGGGGAGGGCTTAAATAATGGATTTAAAGTTAAAATTGCTTTCTTTCCACCTCTCCCTCCTCCCATCTATTTCCTTCCTTCCCTCCCTCCTTCCCTCCATCATCGAAAGTTAAATTTGTTCTCCAAGCTCTGCCACATCGCCACACCAGCTGGCTGGCTTGGCTCGGAGAAGGCATTTGTCTCTTTAAATCCCTTCTCCAAGCCAAGCCGGCTGGCATAGGGGTGTGGGGGGCTTTGGAGAACACGTTTAAAGATAAAGTTGCTTTCTTTCAACCTCTCCCTTCCCCCCTTCCCATTTATTTACTTTCTTTCCACCCCTCTCTCTCTTTCTGTCTTTCTTTCCCCCTCCCTCCCCCTTCCTCATCTATTTGCTTTCTTTCCACCTTTTTCTTTTTTTACCTTTCTTTCTCTCTTCCTTCCTTCCTCCACCTCTCTCATCTCCTTCCTTCCTTCCATGCTTTCTCTCTCTTTCCTTCCTCCCCACCTCAGCTATTTGCTTGCTTGCTTCCTTCCTTCCCCTCCCTCTCTCCCTTCCAATCTATTTGCCTTCTTTGTTTCTGTTTCTCTCTGTTTCTCTCTATCTCTCTCCTTTTTCTTTCCACCTCTTTCATTCTTTCCACCTTTCTCTTTCTCTCTCCCTCCCTCCCCCTCTCTCCCATCTATCTATTTTCTTTCTTTCTCTTTCTTTCTTTCTTTCTTTCTTTCTTTCTTTCTTTCTTTCTTTCTCTCTTTCTCTCTCTCTCTCTCTCTCTCTCTCTCTCTCTCCTTCTCATCCTTCTCCATCTATTTGCTTTCTTTGTTTTTCTCTCTCTCTTTCCCCGTCCTCCCTCCCTCCTTTCCACCTTTCTTTCTTTTTCACTTTCTCACTTTCTTCTTTCCTTTCTTTCTTTCCCCCTCTTTTCCTTCTTCCCCTCCCCTCCCCATCTACTTGCTTCCTTTGTTTCTCTCTCTCTCTCCACCTCTTTCATTCTTTCTCTCCACCTCTCTTTCTCTTAGACAAATAAATATAATTAGCAAACAAATAAATATCATTGGACAAATAAATATCATTATCAATATCTGTTTTTGCCCCTTTTGTTTTTATTTTTGGCAGTCTCCTTTAATGTTAATAAAAAGCAAATTTTTATATTTTCCAATAACACGTTTGTAATATTTGTTCATGTCTTGCGACTCTCAAACATCTGACGTTTATTCTATGTGCCTCTTACATTAAGCAAGTTTGGCCATCCCTGAATTAAGCTGAAGAATAAGACAGTTATGCCAGCTATTACAAATGCTCATGACAAGCTTGCTTAGTTTTTAAACAATAAATGTTAAGACACATCAATAGAGACTGGGTATTTCACTGCCTATGGTATGAACCTCCATGTCCAAAGGCAGTTGAACCTTGAATGCCAGATACTGAGGACAAATGGGTATGGCCATCTGCTTTTGTGAGCTTCTGGCTATCTACTGTTACAAACCAACTGCCAAACTGGATGGATCTGCCTTGCTCTGATCCAGCACGGCCGGTCTCGTGTTCAATGAAGTACTGGCAACACTAATACAATCAGCTAAGGCAGACACACAAGAAAGCCCGATGAGAGCTGCCCCCACTCACCTCTTTGCCGCGGGGAAGTAGCGAGAGCAGGAGGAGCCATCCCAGGCACAGTAGGGATCCCGAGCAAGGCAGCACTCAGCACAGGCTTTCCCATACACATCACAGCGGTGTAAGGGAAGCTGGGAAACACCGACAGCTGAGCCGATGTAGAGCTGTTGCTGGGGAGGAGGAGGAGGAAGAAAGAAACAGGCATTTGTAGCAAAGGCAATTAAAACAAACAGCAAAAAGAGAGCATTTCATATGGTTACACTCCTCCTTTGGAATCCAACTTCTGCATTCTGCTATGATGTCCAAGAAAAGGAGCCCCTCCCTCTGCTCCCTAATGGGAGACATCTCTTTATGCAGCAGACAAACAATCTACATTAATGCAGCAGAAAACAAGAACGTGGGTCCATTTGCTTTTTAGGTCCTGTTGGATAGGGTTGTTAACTCTAGGTTGGGAAATTCCTGGAAATTTGGGGATGGCGTCTGGGGAAGGTGGAACCTCAACTGGGTAAAATGCCACAGAATCCACCCTCCAAAGCAGCCATTTTCTCCAGGGGAACTGATCTCTGCACTCTGGAAATCCTTTGTAATTCCAGGATGTCTCTGGCCTACCTAGAGGCTGGCAACCCTACTGTTGGAATATCCTAAGCCATCCTCCAACTGTGGATACAGCCCAGCTATGCACATGTGATGGACAGTAAATGGTTAATGCTTTAACCCCTGGCCTGAGGACCTTGAGTGACAGGGGATTCAAACGGAATTCTACAGGTGAGAATGTCAGTTAGGAGTGGCAGTTAAGAATGACTGGTGAGTGGGAAAGAAAGTTAAGCAGAGTGAGAGGATCAAGAAGGATCCTGAATTAGGGAACTGGGATGAGTGGCCCTTCCCTGAGGTATTTCTCTCAAGGAAGGTTCACTTGTCCCAGTTCCCTAACTCAGGACCCTTCCTGATCCTAGTAAAGGGGGGGTTATCCCTATTAAGTCTGAGGGAAATAGCTCCTAGTAAAGGAGTGGTGGTAAATCCCTATCAAGTGGTTAAGAAGGGATATTGGAACTTGCGTGAATGTTCCTGCCTTCACCAACTTAAGTATCTTTGAGACAAAGACGTTTATGCCTGTTGAAGCTAAAACTGCCAAGAAATCTCTCTCCTCAGTTTTATAGATCTATCTGTATAACAAAACAGATGCCAGGACAAAGTTTGAGTCCAGTGGCACCTTTAAGACCAACAAAGTTTTATTCGAGGTGTGAGCTTTTGTGTGCACGTGCACTTCCTCAGACATATTGAAATGGAGGTTATCAGTCCATACATATAGGTAGAGGGTGACCAGCAAATTAGCATACAACATAATGGAGATGTTTTAACAGATGTGAGAACCAAACAGGAATAACAAGCTAAGTTTATCCCCCGGAACTGAATCCAAACAAATGGTGACCATATAAACTTAACTTGTTATTCCTATTTGGTTGGCACATCTGTTAAAACATCTTCATTATGCTGTATGCTAATTTGCTATTCACCCTCTACTTATATGTATGGACTGATAACTTCCATTTCAACGTGTCTGAGGAAGTGTGTGTGCACACAAAAGCTCACACCTTAAATACAACTTTGTTGGTCTTAAAAATGCCACTGGACTCAAACTTTGTTCTGCTGCTTCAGACAAACATGGCTACACACCTAAACAGCCTCATTGTGTGTTTATATTTCTACAGAGTTACCTCATTCCTTGCCTGTTCTCCTTCTAAGTCCTAAACCTGATACCTATCTGATCATTTCCTCTCAAAAGTGAAATAAAGCAGTTTGTTAGTTTTGAATTACCATCAGCCTCTGATGTGCCATTATCAGACAAAGAAAAAAGATAGATGTTAGTTGGTCCCTCAGTTCCTTAGGCTGGGTCAGCAGCAGGCCTGTAGCTAACAACTTTTTGCTCAGGGGGCCCATGTTTTTCTCAGGGAGCCCACTACCAATGTTCCCTCTAAGCTGTGGAGTTTTGTGAGCTACTGCCATTAAAGTTGTGAGTGAGCGATTTGGCTCACTGCCTGTGAGGTAGGTGGGGCTGAGAGGGCTATTTCCAGAACTACCCTTTCAAGAACAGCTCTGAAAGAACTTGAACTGACCCAAGGTCACCCAGCAGGCACAAGTGAAGGAGAGGGGAATCAAACCCGGTTCTCCCAGATTAGAGTCCGCGCACTTAACCACTACACCAAACTGGTGCTTCCTGACCAGTGTTCCCTCTAAGCTGAGTGAGTGTGAGCCAGCTCACATTTTTTAGCCTCTGGCTCACAGATTTTTGTCTTTGCTCAGGAAGGATGGCTCCAGAGCAGACTGATTTATGCAGTATCCAAATCGCCCGCTCACAACTTGAATGCCAGTAGCTCACAAAGTAGAATTTTTGCTCACCAGACTCCACAGCTGAGAGGGAGCGTGGGTGATGACCCTAATAAATCCCTTGGGGGAAAAGTTCTCAGAGATGGCAATGAAGTTACAGACTATTAGATGTGGAGAGACTATTAGATGTGGCGGAGGTGGACAGGCTTGGAGAGGAGACTTCCTTGGCTGTCAAGAGTTTGAAGCATTGGATGACTAGGTTCTCCTATCCAGGATCTGCCATCCTTCCTGGGGGAACCTACACAGCCAAAATTATGGCGCCTTCCCCCCCCTACAGGTGTTCCTGGGCAGATTCCCCCCCCCCGTTGTTCCGCGCAGACCCACCTCACCCCTTTGGCTGACTTTATTGGGCTGAGAGGAAACTTTAAGGGGGGGAAACAAAACAACCCAGCGGCCCATCCACCCCCTCCCCCGTCATGTCTTCGCCCGGCTGCAGCCAGAAGGTTGCCAAAGGAGGACTTGGCTTTCCCCGGGAGCTGGATGCTTCGACTGGAGCTCAACTTTGAGAGAACGATGCAGCCTGGCCGTGCCCAGCCCCTCCGCCGCCGCTAGACGTTTTCTTAGGACCCCCACAAAACTTGCGCGCCAGAGACAGACAACCAGAAGGGGGGAGAGAGAGAGAGCAAAGGAGGAGGTGACCGAGATCAAGGAGCCGAGCCGAGCCAGCGCCTGAGAGACACAGAGAGAGGGGGGAGAGAGAGAGAAAAGGGGGTGGGGGAAAGGTGGAGGAGAGAGAGCGTGAGCGGGCGCGTGAGGAAGAGAGAGAGAGAGAGATGGTGCGTGTGAGGGGAGAAAGGCGCCCACCCGCACTCCTTCGCCACACACACAAAGCCTTCCCAGAGGGGGCCGGGGGAAGACGACGGCCGAGGAGGAGAAGGAGAAGAGCGGGTGCGGGAGGGGTCGGCTGAGAAAGTTTCTCCGCACCCGAAGGAAGCGAGCAGGCGGGCCCGGCCGAGGGTGAGGAGATGCTCCGCAGCCGGGAGTGAAGGGGGGAGCGCGCGGGCGCGGGAACTGGCCCGGCCGCCCCTTCCTGCCCTCCCCCCACGCGCTGTTTCCCGGCCATGTTGCCGCTGCCACTAACAGGTGAAGCGTACTAGAGGTGGCCTCGAGGGGGGCGACACAGTGGGTCGGTGCGGAGAGGAGGCCAGTGGCAGCCGGGCGCCTGCGCGGGTGGAACCTTTCGGCCAGGGAGGCCGCAGCAATGACCACGGTGGCGTCTAACCCTTACCTGCCGGGAAACAGCATCCTGTCGGCCGGCTCCATCGTGCACTCAGACTCAGGTATGCAGCCAGGCAGCATGGCCGTCACCTCGGTGTCGGGCGGGGGCGGCGGCTACCGGGGCGACCCGTCCTTGGTGAAGATGGTCCAGAGCGACTTCATGCAGGGCGCCATGGTGGCCAGCAACGGCGGCCATATGCTGAGCCATGCCCACCAGTGGGTCACCAGTGGGTCACTGCCCTGCCCCACGCCGCCGCCACCAACCTTGGAGGGCAGCGGCGGCGAGGGGGAAAAGGGGGAGCAGAGGATCGGGGAAGGGGGCCTGCAAAACCCGCAGGGGGGGCGGGCCCCGTGGGCCCCATGCAGGCTACGGGCCTGGTCAGCAGATATATTTAAACAAGAAGAGAAGAAGAAGAAGAGATTGGATTTATACCTCGCCCTTCACTCGGAGTCTCAGAGCAGCTTACAAACTCCTTTCCCTTCCCCTCCCTACAGCAGACACCCTGTGAGGAAGGTGGGGCTGAGAGAGCTCTTTCCAAAACTGTCCTTGAGAGAACAGCTGTGAGAGAACTATGGCTTGTCGAAGGTCATCAAGCAGCTGCAAGTGGAGGAGTGGGGAATCAAACCTGGTTCTCCCAAATTAGAGTCTGTACACTTAACCACTATACCAAACTGGGTGGGACAGACAGAAAAAGAAGAAGAAAGAAAAGGGGCTGCTCAACCAGGAAAAAGAAAAATGGAAGCTGGGAAGTAGGGGAATTGTTTTAGTGCACTGACCTTATCATGATATGGAACTGAACCAGGGTTTTCTTCTATTGTTCTTGAGCAGATTAATATGCAATAGTTATGGTAGAGCAAGCTGCTCTTTGCTGGGCCAGAACACTTGTGGGATCAAGGTGTCCACACACAAGTGTTTGCAAATTATGTCATAAGGCCATTTCCCCAGCCATTTAATCAAATGGAAAAGAGGGGAAGATAAGACCATGGCTCCTAAGCACAGCTGTGCATTTGGGTGCCCCAGTGGCTGCCAGATTTCCTGTTCTCTGAGGAGTGGCCAGCTCTGTCTAATCAACTTAACTGAATACAAGAACCAGAACATTCAAGACATGAAACCTGCTCTGTTCTAGATTCAGGAGTCAAAATGTTCTCAAATACTTTTAATACAGTGATGTAGCATTGTCAGGCTCCAGGTGGGGCTGGGAGATCTCAGACCTCCCGGAATTAAAACTGGTCTCCAGACTACAGAGATCTGTTCCCCTGGAAAAAAATGGCTGCTTTGGAAAGTGAACTCTCTGTCATTATACCACACTAAAGTCCCTCCCCTCCCCTCCCCAAACCCAGCCCTGCCCAGGCTCTGTCCCCAAATCTACATGAATCTCCCAACCTAGAGCTGGCGACCCTAAAGAGATGCAAAGCCAGAAGCTAGTTCTCCCATTGTCCCACAAATCCCACTCTTCCCTTGTCCCCCATTTTCACCCACGGCTAAACTGATTTTTATAGACTTCATTTTGGATGAATAATTCGGGCTTTGTTAACGGAACAAAGAATGTTCATATTGTTTTCCGATGTAGCCGGGGAAATTGTAATCCTTGCTGAATACAGAAAGAGGCCTTCGAGGGAGAAGCTGGTCTTAAATGCATGGGCCCTTTCTCTAATACAATCAGCTGCTTTCAGAAGAATGTTCTTGTAAAAATAAATCAAAAGCAGAGCATTCTAGTACCATATGAACACACATATATAACTTGACAGCTGTGTTTTGAAGATAGGTTTTTTTTAATACTAGTATATCTTTTTGAAATCTCTCCCCCCTCATTATTTTAGGTGATAAAGTATTTCATGTCAAACACATTTATTTTAGGCAATCTTCCAATATACAGTGGGGATCCCACCTGGTTATGGCAGAATTCTCAATATAAAGATGAACTTTCATTGTTTGTTAGCTCTTTGCAATAAAAAGCCATGCCGACTGCATACCTGGTTTGTATCTTTATTATTTTAAATTTCTTATTTTACTTTTGTTTTTAAGTTATAACGCATTTGTAATCAGGAGGAGGACAACCCTCTTAGATAAATCTGTTACAAATTTACAAATGCTCTTGTAAAATACCTTGCCTCAAATTATTCTCAAAAACACAAAAGACTGCACAAAGACTGCCTCATGATTTCGCTCTGCTTATTTGAATACAGCATATTCATTTATTCATGTACAGAACAGCATGGATCAAACCTGGCAACCTGATGGGATATCAGTCTTTAGAAGAGGGAGTAGCGATTTCCACCAGCTCCTCCCTCTCGGTGCTAACACCCAGTTTGTCTGCCCCAGTGTTCTTCATGAGGGTCCACTGACTCTCAGACAAAAATTTAGGGGGTTGCAGCAGGAGATGGAAGTAGGAAAGTCCTGCTTTGAGATGGGGCATTTTAGCCAGCATAAACTGCTCCGGTTGGAACCGGAGCAGTTTGATCCGGAAGAAACGTGATCACACTTACCTCCTGACTGTGCAGCACATCGCGATATGCCTGTCCAGACTTCAGGCACTCAGCAGAGCACGTCAGCTGGTGTTTTTTTTAACACAGTTTGCGCATGCGCATAGGCAGGCTTACTTATAATGAAGATCTTTGCGCAGGCGCAAACAACCCAGCCCGGAAAGCATGCCTTGAAGCGAAGACGTCCCTTTAAATTTTTACTCTGAAACTGGCCTCCGTGAGGTTCCGGACTCGTCTAAAGTCTTACACTAGGCACTTTTTTAAAAAAAATATTAACGATGGGGCGAAGCTTTGACCAAGCGCACATTGCATAATAAAAAAAATGGCGGCTGAAAAGCAGAAGCCTCGGGCTTCCGAACGGAAGTGGCTCTACACCGGCAGAGAACGATCAGACGGAGATACTGTGGTTGGAACTGGTGCATTCAGGATACCACCACTTGGGGACCCAGTAGCAGACTACAACGGTTAAAGGCTGTTTGCAACGGTTAGGGACGGAAGGCACCGTGTGATCGCCTGTAAGGACATCGATTCCAACCGGCATCTATATCGGCATAAATGCCCTGTCTGAATGCACCCAAAGACCGTGAGTGTCTGGATACACCACAATACCACCTAATCATTCTACTGGCCTGCAACACTGATTGCCTTCCATCGATTTAGCCACCATTATCCTTGCTGCTCTGGCATTCTTAATTTCCACAGTCTTCTCAACAGTCCCCTCACAATTTACCTCTGGCAGAAGATGAACTCTGTGTCTAATATGGTTCTGCTCTGACATTCTGGGGCAACAGAAAACAACTCTGCTCCATCCTGTATATGACAGCCCTTCAAATACTCGAAGATGGCTATCATATAACATTTCAGTTGTCTCCTCTCCAGGCTTAACATACCCAGCTCCTTCAACCTTTCCTGATAGGACTTGGTCTCCAGACAGAAGTGGCATGCATTTGGAATTCTCTGGCTTGCTCAAGTGGTGCAAAGTGCTGAAGGGTATGTGAAGAAGCTATTACAGCAGCACCAGCCCTGGATGCAGTGACTGCTGCTTCACACTATGCACTTTTGGCAATTCTTCCCTTCTCACGCTGAGCCACAACATTGATGTAGTTCACCTCTTAAGCTGTGCTCATCAGGAATTCCATTATTAAAGATTGAATGATACTGTCCTGAATATGTCCCTTTACACCCTTCTATTTATTGAAATATAGCTCAGTAAGAATAGCTTTGGAAGTTACAGTAGCCACAAGTAACTCTGTTGTACATCCAAAATGTTAAGGGTTTTAGCTGTGCAATTTCAACTGGTTTGTGTATGTACAATTCCAGGTTTGCTTAACATTACAGTAAAGAAGACTTAAAATGCTTCACTTTGGCTGGACAATGCCCCTCATTGTGCATATACATTAGCAAGGCACAAGGAAGCGCTAGGGGCACTGCTGCCAAATTTGGAGAAGGGAATTAACCCACCCACCCAGCATAATCAGAAAACCTCTCTGCATTTCCTAGCAATATGACACTTCCAGATTTAGCAAGAATACTTGGCTTCCATGTTCATTACTATTAAAGTATGAATAAAGACTTTTTCAGTTCCTTATCTGTCAGATATTTGTTAAGAAACATTTCTGGAAAAAGGATGGGGTGCAGTTGGCAGAAGTATCCATTCACAGAGCCAAGTTGCCATCTCTGAAACATTGCACCCTATCAATATTTAAAGAGACCACAATTGCACTTGCAGTACCTGCTTTGTAGATATCTTCATTGCTGAAATAGCTGTGGGTTCCTGGAAAACAGAAGGAGAGGGGTCACCTTCAAAGATGCATTCAATCATTACTTTCCTTAACAGAATGATAACTTGGTTTCAGACGGTAGCCATGTGGGTCTGCAGTAGAACAGATTCGAGTCCAGTAGCTCCTTAAAGATCAACAAGAGTTTCAGGATTTCAAGAGTCAAAGCTCCCTTCATCAAACAGGATGTGAACTGGCTCTCTTATACTTGACTGTTCTTAGTGAAAACTTTCACCCTGAACATTGATGCAGCTATGGATGCACTTGAATACATTTGTGGCCATGCAACTCTGTGTATCAAAAATTCTGACATGGGAATTCTTCACAAGGGTCCATAGCAGAGGTAATGCTTGCTTCCCCCGCATATCACACATTGCAAATTTACAACCAGCCTTGGGGATGTGGACCACTCTCTACTTGTTGTCCTTAGATTCATGATATGTGTCAAAGTAGTCGTGATGATTGCTAACCAGCCTCACCGAAGTTTGAAACCCTCTTCCAGGACAACTCCTCATCCTCCAAAGTGTTGGCTGCTGGAGGCAGGGGAAGTGGCAGCAATGAGGATGGCATGATAGTGGAAAACTCCACATCGGGCTTATCTCTTCAGGTGGAGTCCCCGATGAAGGATAGTAAGTAGCAGGGGAGTGGTGGCACAGAGGATTTATCCTCTGGTTACAGTAACATCTGAACTGAACAGAACTGTTGTCAGTTCTAGCCCGCGTTGGTGTGAGCTACCAGCCTTGTCCCCAGCTCACCATCCACCCAGCGGTTCGAAAGCTTCGGTGAGTAGATAAAATGGGTACCACTCCTTAGAGAGGGTGGGGCACACTAAACCTCCCCGGTGGGGGGAGGTGTTAGCCGGCGAAATGGAATGTCCAGCTCAGAAGCTCGGAAGCCTGGAAAGATCTCTTCGGCATTAAGACGCCTGCGATGGGCCAATCTGGCCAGGCGGTGGCAGTGCGACGCTGCGACTCGAAGCAGTCCTGGAAAAACTGACGTCATCAAGCCAAGCCGAGTGAATGCCGTCTGGAACATGTCTAAGTCTACAGCTGAACAAAAACCCCGTTGGCTGCAAACGTGTGCAACTTAAAAAGATTTGTATGTTGTCCTCGCTTACCCCCTATGAATCATTGTTAGTCCCTTGTTAATATGTGTAACTGTAAATCGCTCAGAGTCAGCAGCTCTGCACGACTGAACGATTAATAAATAGAAAGATATTATTATTATTATTATTTGTCCCACCCTAAATACTAAGAGTCCTTTGGATTCTTTATAGTTTCCTAAGATATTTACATCGTTCACACCAAGCTTCCATGTACGTCATCTCCTGTAAATCTTTACAGTTTCCTAAGATGTTTACATCGTTCACACCAAGCTTCCGTGTACGTCATCTCCACTGACCATATGGGGGACAGAATATAGCTGAGTGGAAGCTAATCCAATACCCACTTGGTATTGGCAGGCGTTAGTTATGGGCTACAATGAAATATTTGCCCAGCTGTTTAGGGAGACTCACAAACTGGGTTAAAAGGTAATGGATCTGGAATGCCTTCAGTTTGGCTGGGATTCTAAATAAAATGCATCGTACTTGGCATATTGGAATTCAGGTTTTAAATTCATTCTTTGATGACAGAAAATTAGATTCGAACACCCCAGGGGTATATGAAAACTGAGAAGTGATGGTTTACATTAATTTTCATATCAGATTTCTATATGAAACTCAATTCCTTGGGCACTAAGCCCCCTCCCCCCAAATGCCATTTGTACCTGCAATGAAAACAAGGTCAAAATATTTTAATACAGCTGATAAGGAACTCTTGGCTATGCCAACTTTATGACATGTGTATTCCCTGACATGTGCAAACAAGATGTTCCCACATGGCTAAGGAATGAAGAGGTTACAGAGGCTCCTCTGATGGCTTCCTGAAGATGCTTCTCTTCATTTGCCTCCTCCTTCCACTTACCAGCTAGTCTGTTGACCCACTGTGCTACTAAGCCAGGGAATACCTGCACCCTTGAACAGACACAGGGCTTCCTATCACGCGGTATGAAAAGCAGCCTGCCTCTGCTCTGAGTTCAAAAAGGCAGGGTAGAGAAAATAATCTATGTTTAACAGGCCATATGTTATAAAATAAACATGGGCACACACACACACAGAGTCACATAAACATATTTCTGAGTAGCTATATTTTTTCCAGGCAACCTAAAAATGAATGTAAAAGAGAATTTTGCTACAGCACACACTGAGAGAGGCCATGAAGCTCTCTGGACTTCCTGAGGCTTCTTGGTCTTCAGACACATTCCCCACTCTTCCTCATCAGCATTTGCAAGTAAGCTTTTCCCTGACCCCGTTCTCCCTTACAACTGTTGAACTGCACTTACTAGGAAAGCCCAACCAACTTTCCCTCCACTACCCTGGGGATATTTATTGTGACGGACAGCTTTCCAAGACAGAAAAAAACTAGCAGAGAGAAAAATGTGTATTTATTTAATTACCTTATTTATAGGCTGCATTTCTTACTGAGACACAAGTTGCACAAAGGACATTTATTCTCAAAGGACACTTGTGGTTACAGTGCACACCTAATTTCTGCAAGTTTGCTGAAAAATCTCTTCAGTGTCCATGTGGCCTCAATTCGTGGATTTAGATATCCATAGATGGGGATATCTGTGTATATAGATGTGGCATATCTCCCTGTTAATTAGGGACTTATTGCTCTGTGCCTTCCTGCTAGTTCATTTGGCCTTATTTGGGAAAAGAAACACTAGACCTGCCATTACCAAACATTGGGGCTTCACACAGTAATTGATTGGGCTGGTCCTTAATTTGGTTTTCCTTCTTCTTGAGAAGGAAGGCGCTTGTCCAATAACAGTACCACTAGGTAACTATATCCTTTAGGAGGACTGTTTGGAAAAAAACAGATGGCGGCCAAAAGCTTCTTCTGTGTTTTTATCCCAAAGCTTGAAAATTATATCTGCTATTAAGATTACTGTTATTATGTTCCACCATCACTATATAACTTTGCACACTAGCACTTTGTGACTGGTTTTAATGTTTGTTTTAGCCATTTTAAAGTTTTATGTAAGCTGCCCTGAACCTGACTTTGGTGGGGAGGGTGGGGTATAAATCAAATCAAATCAATAAATATCTTGTTCAAAACAACATGCTCAAAAGTCCATGACAAAATTAAACATAACCGTGCAGTAAACTACGCTGGTCTCTTTATCAAGAATTGATTAATTCATGAATGACTTTGCTTTCCCCCTGTGGCATAATATGTTTAAGTTGTTGGGCCACATTAAGCAAAGGGGTATGCATCTTACTTTTCCAATGAAAGACTATTATTGGAGGAACAGCCCTTTAAATTGCTGGAAGGCTCCACAGTCAGGATGCATCTGAACTCATTGCTGAGCTCCCAGCATCAGAGCTTGATGCCCACTGGTGACTGAGGCACTGCCAGGAGGAAATGGAGGGAGAGATAATTATGCCAGCACAGTTATGTCACTTCCAGTGAAAACTAGAAGTGACACGGTGAATGCTCTAACATTTTACAAAAATGCTATGGTAAAACCCTAGAGTTTTTGTAAAATGTAAAAGCTAGACATCACTTCTGGTTTCCTCTTGGGGGTTGCTGGCTGCAGGCAACCCTACTCCTTAGTCTGGAAGAAGGCTGCAGACTTTGCTTAGTGGAATAACAAGATACAGGACAGTGTCCTGACCAAGGGAAGTGATAATTATACTCTGTATTGCACTGGTCAGGCCTCATCTAGAGTCCACTAGATGCAACATTTTAGGAAAGATAAGAACAAACTAAAGCACTCTCTTACTCCAGAGGGCAAGACTAGAACTAAGAGGCAGAAATTACAAGGATGTAGATTTCAGCTATGTATTGGGGGGGAAACCTCCTAGACAGTGAGAGCAGTTCACCAGTTTGCCTTGGAATGTGGTCCTGAACGACAGGCTGAACAGCCATTTGCCAGGGAGGCAGGAGTTGTGTATTCCTGTACTGAGCAGGAAGTTAGATAAGGTGATCCGAGGTCCCTTCCAGCACCTACATTTTATGACTGGGAAATAAAGAATTCTACAAATAGCAGAAAAACGTTGTCCTTACCTACATGTCAAAGAGATCTAGCAATTGCAGTGTAACATGGAAAGTGAAAACTTTCACTTTGAAGAATATTTGAGCTGCCCCCAGAGATTCAGAGACTTTCCATATATATTCACTTCTTTGGCTTGAGACAGTTCAGAGTCCATATGGAATGTTATGAGGTGCTTATTTGTCATGTCAGAGAAATGTTCAAAATCAGATAATAGTTTCCACTCTGCCCTGGCCTTAATGACATTTGCATATATGTTGGATTAACTTTGTATATTTTGTGAGGAAAAGGAAGGCAAAAAAGCCTACAGTTGTACAGATGGTTTAAACTGTAAATTGCAAGCAGTCATATCTATTGATTTTTACATTCCATGAAACATAAAGTGTCACTGATATAATCTCTTGTTATTAACGCACAACTGGTATTGAAATCTTCTGGTTTTATTTTGACTAGTCCCCAAGCCTCTAACTGACAAGCTAATTAGAAGGGCTCACTAGATTCTTCTACAATAAACTCTATTTTCAGCTGCCTAAGGAAGCAAAAACAGATTATCTGAAATTTCAGATGCACTCACTTGAAAGACTGTCATTTCTTCTAATAAAACTTCCTCCAAATCATGCCAAGTTTCTTTAGGAATAGAAACAATTTTCAAAACAGTTCCAACATCTGATTGCCTTGTTCTAAGGGATATGGTATAAGAACAGAGAAAAACAGAGATTCAGAGAGAGAGAGAGAGAGAGAGAGATAGTTAGTGAGTTTTCCAGTTTCAGGTCAACATAAGGTTACGGTTTCTATTATCATATTTCAAAAAGAGGATTTTGCAGCAATGCATTCTTTAAACCTGATACCACTGAATATACATTTACCTTGTAAATGAAGTTCTCAAGAGATTCCTAAATGGGGTTATGCTGAAATCTTCTAATTTCAAAATAAATAACTAAACCAGATAAATAATCTGTACCCAAACCATTTTTATTGTTATGAACTGTATAACGTTATTGATGAAATGTCATCTGCCACAAGTATATTTTTAAACTGTGGAATGTCTCTATGCTTTGGTTCACCCTAGTTAGAAAAACTTCCCCAAGCTTGGTCAGACAAGCTTAAGGATTGCACAGTTCCTTTACTCCAAAGGCTTAGGAGCCTACCTGAACTGTGAAATGTGGGCTTGCTCAGGGATTCCACAGTTCCCTAAAGACTTAACAACCAGGGTTTGGGAAAACAATCACTGTTTCACAAACTTCCTACAGGATTTAGGACTTGGAAGAAAATAATTTAGAGGAGAACTAAAAGGAATATGCTTTGAAACCATGAAGTGAAAAAACAACAGCGGAGACTGCTCAGCTCCATTAAAGGGAAATTAAGCGGTCTGAGCAGCACAATTTGAAAAGGAAAACACTGGGGGAAAGTAAAATGCAGAGGTCTGATATCTGCAGATGTGTCTCTGGATTGTGGCTGTTGCTTTCAAGTGCAGAAGATTTAACCCCTTAAAATTCTGTTCTATGCCCATTACTAACAATCACACAAAGCTTCTGGAAATTAAATTACTCCTTGAGCTACTCAAATTTCCTTAATTCATGTAGGTGTTAGAAGCAGAGGAGGATGGGCCAGTCAACAATGGTGGCTGTCTTCACCAACTAGAACTGCAGATGTTAAATGGTGATAACACATCTTTTTTTTTTAACCATGACAAGCTTCCATTTGACAGACAAAACAACCTTATCAAACAGAATTGAACAAGTGGTGGGCAAACTTTTTAAAAGAAATTAATTTTTCTTAACAGAGTGATCTAAGAATAAAGGCATAAACATTGCTGAGTAATCTAAGCAGCTAGACGAAAAGAAGGAATGCCACCCAGAGCCTCAGCACCAATATGGCAATTACAACTTTGAAGAAAATCTACCCAGCTCATAAGCATCAAGATGGGAAGACTTTGATCTTCTGAAAACAAACAAGGCATGTCAGTGCACTGGAGTCTCATGGTGTTCCACTGACAGCCTTTTAAAGGCTACATTTCAAGAGCCAAACAGATTGGAGGGTGGAATATGAGCCTTGCAGGTAGACGCAACACATCTTCCCATTCAGTCTTTAAACCCATTTTTGTTTCAGAGGATCCTGCCATGAGTCAAGATTTGCTGCACCATAAAGCCTTTCAGGTCAAATGTACAGCATGATAATCACTGTGGTGGCTCTGTATAAGCCACAGACACCCAAGGAGAAGCTTTATCTGAGTTCTAGATCAGGTTTTATGGAATAACATTTCACACCATTTCACACAAATGGAACCAGATCAGCAAGCTTGCTTGGGAAGATAAAGTTACTATTATTAATTCATGCTTAGTGACAGATGGACTCAGACTGCACTAAATGACCTCCCTCTTCCCAATCAAGTTATGAGTTTAAACGGATGTATTGAGATGTAGATTTTGGCTTGTTGCAGAAAGTTTAAAAGGACCTCTGCTACAGGTAGTGTAAGAACAAAATACTTGCTTGAACAGTTTTTATAGATATAGCATGCTAAAGCTCAGAGAAGCAATGTATGTAATGTCACATTCCTTTGCAACAAGATCCTTGAACATTTTTCCCCACTCAACAAACAGAAAACTAAGAGGCAGTCCTCTGTTTAACACACCTGATAATACCCTATGTTCACTCAGTTCTCTCAGATCAATACTATGCTAGCAGATCCAGCCAGTGCTGCAGTTTGGAAGGGTCCCAGCACATGCACAGGTGCCCCCTTGAGGGCTCACAAGGCTCTAGAGTGGAAGGATTCAACAGGTAGGGAAGATGGGGCTGGTGAGATCACAGGGTGAATCCATTCCCACACCGGATGCCGTCAAATCAAATGAAATGTATTAATATGCTTCATGACCAACACAAGATTAGTAAATGGCCCCCACGGAGGATGGAAAGGGAGCCCTGCCCACCTGCCTCCCCTGAACCCACTCAAGTTTGGCAGCTCAGCAAGGGATGCTACAGCTGCTTCACTGGCCTGGTCAGGCTCCCTCCCGGCACTGGCTTGGTCTGAATTCAGGAGGAAGAACAGGCTGGCTAGCCAGCTGCAGGGAGGAGCTGGGGAAGGACACAGAATGAGTGAGTGGATTTTTACATTATTTCATATTTATATCCCCCACCCCCACTCCCCCGGTGAGAATTTTCTGTCTACAGGTCTGGACTTTAGTGTGATACAGTGCCATAAAGTCCACCCTCCAAAACATCCATTTTCTCCAGGGGAACTAATCTCTGTAGTCTGGAGATGAGCTGTAATCCCAGGGGATTCCCAGGTCCCACCTGGGAGGCTGGCAACCCTAGATACAAAAGGGCCTGAATTTCTGGGTTTAAGAGAGAACTTGATCCTGGTCATTCTCTGTGCATGCCATGTGATCTCTCTGTCTCTCCTCCTCACATACATGCGTGCATGTATCTGTATAGTGGAATCATTGTATTAAACTTATTTTTAAGGGAATGTAAAAATAGAAGTACCAGTAAGTGTTGCAATGGGATTGTATGCTGCTGCTCCTGGGTTCCAGTTTGAGATTCTGCACAAGCAGCAGTTGCTCTGTGGGTTCCATTTAGTAGACCGCCCCCACCCTCCATCACAAGACTCTTTGTTGCGTACAGATACAGAAAGTTATTCCAAGAAGAAGAAAAACAGCCATAATTTATTAAACTTGCTTCATAGTAACCTAGGAAGATAAATAATGCAGAGAAATCCTTTCCTTTTACATCAACGGGGTCAAAATTAATCAATATATGTTTGGTCTTCACATCCATATAAAATTTCAGATAAGAAACAAACATCCCCATTTGGTTAGCAGAGTAGGTGAATGCTAGGAGTCTGAAACATTCTACAGAGAGCAACCCACTGTGGTCCTCAACATCCCTGCTAGGCAGATGGTTGTAGACACAGGCTTCCAGACACAATGTTGAAAGAAATGGGGAGAAAACTCTTCACTGTGCTCCACATTTCACTGTATGGTCACTGTATAATACATATGGTCAGTCATATGCTGTGCTTTGGAACTGATGCCTATAAAACAAGCCAAGGAGTTGGCTAGGCAAGGTGAACATTAGAAGACTTTGAGCCAATTGCACAAACTAATGGCATGTGAAATCAGGATCTGCTTTGGCTCCCACAGAATCTGTAAATGGACAAGGCTGACCTGTTCCATTACTATCAGTGGCAAGATATGACAGCATTTTCGCTATACCCCCTCACACACAATAAAAACAAGCAAAATGCCACCAGCCTTGAACACCTGGCATTGGGGGAAGAGATTATGACTGGCTTCTGCTGTTGTGCAGGATTTATCGATAATATTTTTACTCCCTTCTCCTTTCTCCCAGGGAGCTCAGAGCAGCATACTTGGCTTTTCCTTCCCTGTTTTGTCTTCACATGAATATTTCTGCCTCAACTGTGGAGAGAATGTGGCTGGCCCAAGGTCACCCAGTGAGCATCATGTCTGAGGGGGAATTTGGACCCATTTCCTAATCTGGTTCTTTTATGAAGGTCTCATACTCAGCCAGAGAAGGACCTTGAGGCTCCAGAGGGAATTTTCTTTGCAGTGATGTATTCCTAACAAGACTGCAATCTGCAAATGACTGTTGCAGCACGGCCTCATCCATTTCAACATACAGAGGCAATGTGAAGCAAATGGTCTCTTGCACTTGGGTTTAATATTCCAAGTACTTTCTGATGTCAGCTGATCAAGCCTTACCTGTTCCAATGAACATGACATCATATTGGCCATCCTCTGCATCCACTCGATCAACGACAATCTGTGTGAACTGGTAATCCACATCAGTTTTGATCATGATAGGGCGGTTGTTGATGGGAAATACAGGGTTGTACATTGCTGGATGGCTTCTTGCGAATGTAATGACTTCATCAGGAAGGTCCTTGGTAGAATCAAAACCACCAAATGTTTTACTTGGACACTGGTGAAGGCAACAAGAGAATATTGTCAACACACTGGCTGCTTTTGCTAGCAAGATCATAGCAGTGACATTCCCATACTCTTTCATTCCTAGTTGGGTGTCTCTGCCAGCATTCCACACAGGTACCAGTGGCTCAGTGGTGGATAGGGGTCTTTAATGATGTTTAATGTAAGGCTTACTGCAGGGGGCATCAGAGGATCTGTGAATGCTAAACACCAAGCTATGTACAGCTTCCAAGTGGAAGCTTCAAAGTCTCCATGCAATCCTGGCTGGTTTACAAGATCTTCTCTGACCCCACATGCTTCTGCCTATAGTGCTGTGAGTTGGGAAGTTCCTGGTTCAAATCATAGCTCCTCCAAAATCTCACTCAAGGCATCATTGTATCACACTTTCCCCTGCAATAGCAACCATGTTGTAAGATGATGGACCAAAGTTACATTAATTGCTCTCAACTCCTGAAACATGAAGTGCTATGGGCAGGGCTATTTTTGGGCAGGAACGCACAGGAACAGAGTTCCGGCTGGCTTCAGAGTTGGCCATGCCCACTACAGCCAAAACCTCTGCGTGTGTGGCTACAGAGGGAAGGCCTGGAGAATGACGCCCCACAGCAACTCTGAGGCGGGCGGGCCAGGGGGCGCCCTGGAAGGATTGGGCCTTCTCCAGCCTGTCCAAGGGCTGGCTTGCCCAGACTCTCTGCAGCCACAGGGCGCCCGGGCAAGCTAAGGGAAGGCATCTTAAACTGCCTTCCCTTCCCTTCAAGGGAGGCTTGCCTGGGCTCCCCGCAGTTGCAGGGCACCCAGGCAAGCCAAGGGAAGGCATGGGGAGTGGCCTAATAGGCTAATGAGCTATGCTGTCAGGGGTGTGGCTTAATATGCTAATGAGATTTTTTATATTGGGTGTGGCCTATTATGCTAATGAGTTCCTGCTGGGCCTTTTCTACAAAAAAAGCCCTGGCTATGGGTATTATATTTTACATTTATCTTGGATGAAGAATGCCCAGTTGTCACTTTCTGTCTCTGCTTGAAAGGCTAAGAAGTAATTATACAACCCTGATCTTGCAAGATACTGAATAGGGACAACAATCAATTTTCTTTGCCGTCAGTCTCATACAGACTGTTAATCATTCATCAGGGAGGAAATAAACAAATGTCTTGCCAACAATTGTCTTGACAGTGTCTTCTACATGGCAGCAATCCCATTCTATTGCAGCAAACTTTATTACATATTGGAATGATTATTTTCACCTAGTGATTTAATAGTGTGTTCTTCCTTGCAACAAAATCCTAGTGTCCACTTTTATTAGCCATTACCAAAGCCAAATACCAAATACACATTGATGGGGTCTGAGCTGGCAAAGACTGATCAAGAGAGAGATCTTGGAGTTGTAGTAGATAACTCACTGAAAATGTTGAGACAGTGTGTGACTGCAATAAAAAGGCCAATGCTATGCTGGGGATTATTAGGAAGGGTATTGAAAACAGATCAGCCAATATCATAATGCCCCTATATAAATCAATGGTGTGACCTCATTTGGAATACTGTGTGCAGTTCTGGTCACCACACCTTAAAAAGGATATTATAGCTTTGGAAAAAGTGCAGAAAAGGGCAACTTGAATGATAAAAGGGTTGTAACACTTTCCCTATGAGGAAAGGTTAAAGCGTTTAGGGCTCTTTAGCTTGGAGAAACGACGACTGAGGGGTGACATGATTGAGGTTTATAAGATTATGCATGGGATAGAGTGGGTAGGGAAAGGGGTACTTTTCTCCCTTTCTCACAATATAAGAACTCATGGGCACTCCATGAAATTGCTGAGCAGTCGGGTTAGAACGGATAAAAGGAAGTACTTCTTCACCCAAAGAGTGATTAACACATGGAATTCACTGCCACAGGAAGTGGTGGCGGCTACAAGCATGGACGGCTTCAAAAAGGAATTAGATAAGCATATGGAGCAGAGGTCCATCAGTGGCTAATAGCCACAAAGTATAGATAGGGGCTCTGGGGCAAGTGATGCTCTGTCTTCTTGGTGCTTGGGGGGGGGGGTCAACAGTGGGAGGGCTTCTAATGTCCTGGCCCCACTGGTGGACCTCCTGATGGCACCTGGTATTTCTGGCCACTGTGTGACACAGAGTGTTGGACTGGATGGGCCTTTGGCCTGATCCAACATTGGCGTCTCTTATGTTCTTAAGCCTGAGGTACCTGAAGATCAAACACAATTAAAAACCAAACACTGCAAGAGGTTCCCTTGTTTTTTAATCAGTGTCACATTTTAGCTGTTAAATAATAATTCACAACAGTTTTTGTAGCCTGTAGCAATTTTGTATTTTTAAAAAGAACTTACATTTCATAACTCCAAGACTGTCTTTATTTCCAGATGGAATGCAACACTGATTATTTGAATAAATTAGATAATGATTAATCAGAAACTATATGTGAAATGATCTGAACAAGAAAAGTAATTTAGAAGTGCTGACTATTGTCAATGCAGCTGGGAGTTCTACACAAGAACATGTATGAATAATCCATACCACCAGAGACACAGGCACTTAAGAACAATTCAAATTCACGTTGTAATTAAGGGCACTCAAGCATTTTCTGTTACGCTAACATTTTGTTTACATGTTGAGATCAGCACCATGAAACGCTTGGGAAAAAACATCAGAGCAGTCACAAAACTGCTGTCTTGCAATGCTATGCCATGGCCGTCAATTCTTCAAAACCACAATCTGCCCAAGGGGGAGGAAAAAAATAGTTTACAAAACAGGTTGCCTCTTGAGAAGTGATGAACTCTCCAAGCAAAATACATTTCTTGCCCTTTCTGTGGGTTCAATATTTCTGGTGGATATGGAAATATTAACATCTGTGGTTTAAGAAAGCCATATCCATTTCACCCTTAATGGCTGAGCCCTCCTCCTGACTTAGTTTTGAGGTATGCATTTCCAAGCCTAGGAACTTGAAAAGGAATGGTCAAGGTTTTCTTTCCTTTCTTTTTTTTTGGCCCCCCGGAGGGGATTTTTTATTGCATTTTTAATAGACTACAAACTACAATGAAAAATTGGGAAGGGGTATCTACATCTAGGGAGAAAGGAAAGAAAACCACTAATAACTAAACCCCCAAGAATAGGAGATCATAACAACAGCTTATATAAATGTTAATCTTAAATTGCTAATATTACTTTGAACATAGTCGGTTATGCTAAATTATTTATCTTTTTATCCACTGATTTAACTGTTTAGGAGAGCCCGCCGAGCATCCCGTAATAAAACTAAAGTTTTAAGGCACAATTCAGAGTCCTTCAGCCTTCATTTTGTTTTGTCTTTTTTAATCCTTAATTTATATGCACGTTTGGGGGCAGCAGCCCCCTTATCGGAAGCAGAGTCCTCGTCGGAAGACACCGAGTCCAATTCGCCACTGGATTTGCTGTCATCTTCTTCCTTCTCGACCTCGACTGTTTCTCCCAGCTGCAATCTCAGGAACTCACGTGCTTTAGGGACAGAGTCAATCTTTTCTTTTTTATCGTGTAGTTTGAAAATGATGTATTCTGGAATTAACCATCTGTAGACAATGCTGTTTGTTTGTAGAAAAAGGATTAAGTCTTTATATTTCTTGCCCTTTTGCCTTATTTTAGAATCCTGATGATGTTGTCCCCGATTTTCAAGGGTGTTCCTATAGTTGCTTTCAGGATAGAATCCCTCACATGCCTCTTACAAAATCTGACCACTATTTACCCAGGCAGATTATTCTTCTTGAAATACACGGAATAGGACCTGTAGACAACATCCATTTCGTTTGCAAGATATTCCGCTTTCAAATCTGTGACTGGGGCTAATGCTTCACTCAAGAGTTGCTTTAGATTCTCACCTTTTAATTCTGGGGCCTCTTGAAACCGGAGGACCAAATTTGCTTTCTCCATTTGCAGCTGTAAAAGTTGTGATTCTTCCGAAGTTTGTTTCTTTTCCAGCTTTTGCACCTTTTTCTTAACTTTTTTAGTGTTGGCATCCATTTCCTTCACCTTCTCAGCCGTTTGCTCCGTTATTTTTAAAGTCTCAGTCAGTTGGAGCTGCTGAGTTGCAAGGTTCTGATTTAGAGTTGTCAGCTGTTGTTTGTCATCTGGTCCAGCAGAGGGCGCAAGGAATCTGCCAACATTTTGGAGAACTCAGTGACCTCTTCTGGTCGAGGGCTCATGTTCCCCACTGGTTTCACTTTTGCTAGTTTGTCTTTCTCTGCCCTCTTCCCCGCCATCTTTATGAATTGTTTACTTTTATGAAATTTGTCCATACGCCTATCCGCGCTCTGGTAAGTCTCTCAAAACAGATTTCAATGCTTTTTCTTCCGCTTCCACCTTGGTATATTGTTTTTTAGTTCATGCACATGGAAGGGGCCCCTCCCCCACTCACTTTTCTTGCCGTTCCCGGGGGTAGCTTTTTAAAAAAAATTCTCGTATTCGCTTTAACCCGACTCATTGTTCATTGTTGGTCATATGACCTCGCTCGGAACACGTTTAAAATGCTCGATATTCGATGCTTGTCCCGGTCAGCGGCTCTAGATCCATACGGACACTCAGCAGCAGGACTGTCAGGGTGGAGGAGCGCCTCAATTCCCCAGCATCGTGATGGCGAAGTGGTCGCCCCTCAAAAGCCCCATTGGCTAGGAGCCTTTTGCCAAGGCTCTGGGGGGGTGACCCATCGCCCCCCCTCCTATCTGCTGGTGTGCAGATCACATCCCTGGGAGGTCTGGGAGATGTGTCCGCCAATGTGTCACCATAAACCGGAAGTCTGGTGGTCAACCTTTTCTTAAAAGTGGAGGAATGCAACTTGGGAAACTAGTGGGTTCCTTCCAACTTGCTTTCCCCTTCAGCAAGATGGCTGCAGTGGGGAGCAAATTTTTCAAGTGCACACATGGGTTCAATTATTTAGAACACCCCTTAACGCCATTCTGGGTTTGGAGAATGGGGGGGGGGGAGAGAGATCTCTACACTGCTGTGGTCCTGATCCAAATCAGCCACTTGTAGTGCTTGAAACATTAGTTCCTCACACCTGCCATCTGCCCATGTGGACAATGAGCTGGTTTATGGAAACCCATACCAGACTCATTGAAAAGGTAATGTCTAGTTTTGGCCCAATGTTAGCTCTTTTTAGAAGATTACCTGGGGCACAGTAATTAAATAATTGTGATTAATAGCCACTGAGACAGCCAACAGTCAGCCAGGCTATTCTCTGCACAGAAACAAATTGCTTGCAGTACTGCTCACTTGGAATAACAAGCAAGTCTTCAATGTGACCTGAAGGGCAGCTCAATTCAACAAAAGATGGGCCTGTCAAACAAGGTAAGTTTGAATGTCAATCACATTTTGCATAGTCCTTATTACCTGTGATTGTAATCACTTTAAACACCTTTGTAATTCCTTAAAAGAACTAAGTGCTGAATCATTTTAATGAATTCATCTTTTATTAAATTGTATTGATTTCTTACTTATGAATGAAAGGGAAACCATAAATCTAAAATCTGATTCTTATCTGTCTACAATCCAGTGTCTGACAAATACTCCAGAACTAGGGCTGAGTTCAAATAGAGAATATGGAAGGGTGTTTTTTGTCTCCCAGTCAGACAAGTTTTGAACCCCTTTCCACAAGGGTGTGAACTTTAGATGGGTTCCTTGACATAACTCACATGTGGGGTTGTACTCTTCTAAAGTAACCAAGTGCTGATGAACGGCATCCACATTCAGAGGCACATAAGAACATAAAAAGAGCCCTGCTGAATCAAAGCAGTGGTCCATCTAGTTCAGCTTCCTGTCTCATATAGTGGCCAACTAGTTACTGTGGAGGGCCAACAACATGGCATAGAGGTCAAGGCTTCCCCTGATGTTGCACCATGGCACTGGTATTCAGAGGTTTACTGCCTCTGAGTGTGGAGGTTCTTTTTAGTCACTATGGATAGTAGTCAATGATAGACCTATTTTCCATGAATTTGTCTCATCCTCTTTTAAAGACATCTTTGCCTTTGGCCATCACTACACCTTTTGGCAGAGAACTCCATATCTTCTTCACTTGCCGCATAAAGAAGTACAGATGTGTACTCAGATGCAGATGTCATGCGAAACGCCAGCCTGGATGATTCAGATGCTGGAATTAAGATTGCTGGGGAAAATATCAACAACCTCAGATATGCAGACGATACCACTCTAATGGCCGAAAGTGAAGAGGACCTAAAGAGCCTCTTGCTCAGAGTAAAAGAGGAGAGTGCAAAGGTTGGCTTGAAGCTCAACATCAAAAAAACTAAGATCATGGCATCCGGCCCCATCACTCTTTGGCAAATAGAAGGGGAAGTCGTGGAAGCAGTGACAGACTTCACGTTCCTGGGATCCAAGATCACTGCAAATGGTGACTGCAGTCATGAAATTAAAAGATGCCTGCTCTTTGGGAGGAAAGCGATGGCAAACCTTGACAGCATAATAAAAAGTAGAGACATCACCCTGCCAACAAAAGTCCGCATGGTCAAAGCAATGGTATTCCCAGTAGTGCTGTGAGAGTTGGACTATAAGGAAGGCTGAGCGCCAAAGAATAGATTCTTTTGAATTATGGTGCTGGAGAAGACTCTTGAGAGTCCCCTGGACTGCAAGAAGATCAAATCAGTCAATCCTAAAAGAAATCAACACTGACTGTTCCCTGGAAGGCCAGATACTGAAGCTGAAGCTCAAATACTTTGGCCACCAAATGAGAAGGGATCACTCACTGGAGAAGACCCTGATGCTGGGAAAGATTGAAGGTCAAAGAAGAAGGGGACGGCAAAGGATGAGATGGTTAGACAGTGTTATCGAGACAACGAACATGAAATTAAGCAAACTCTGGAGCACGACGGAAGACAGGAGGGCCTGGCGTGATGTGGTCCATGGGGTCGCGAAGAGTCGGACTCGACTATGTGACTGAAAACAACAAAAGGATCCAAAGATGCCTTTTTCAAGACCAGTACTACCACAGCCTCTTTTAAACCTTCTGGGTATACCGCCAAGTCCAGGGACAGACTGATAATGTCTACTGTGGGCCCTGTACTCCCTCACCACTGGCTTTCACCAGACATAAGGGGCATGGGTCTAACAGGCATGTGAATGGCCTGACAGCACCCAAGATAGGCCCAGGTGAGCTGGCTGAAGCTGCCAAATACTGAAGCCAAAGATGGCCAAGGGGCCTCCAGTTCACATACTGTATCAATGTTGGCTGGGAGGTCATGGTGGAGCAACAAGATTTTATCCACAAAAAGGCTTGCAAAGGCCTCACAGTTAATGGTCAAATTGCTAGCCTTTTGGGTTCTCCATGAGAGAATTTAAAGATCTAATTACCCAAAACAATTGTGCTGGGCAAGAGCCAGGGAATGCAATGGAAGTTGAATAAAATTCCTTTTTTGCAGCCTTCAACGCCACCTCATAGGTTTTCATAAACATCCTATAAGTTGTTCTTGCAGCTTCGTCATGAGCGTGCTGCCAAATGTGCTCTAGTCATCTGAGTTCCCACTTCATCCCCCAAGTTCTATAGTATACTGGGGGATGATTTAGAATGGGAATGGAGAGGATGTCGGGGAATGACTTCATCAGTGGCTTCAGAGAGATGGGAATTCCAGCCCTCTAATGAGTCACTGGAGGGCATCAGATCCCGCAGAGCATTCTGGAACTCAAATTGGGTCCATTAGTCTCCGCAGGTGAGCATAAATCAGCTTTGTCACCTAGACAGGATGGGGCTGGGACACCCAATCAGGCCTTCAGGGAAAAAATGGTTCTATCCCACCCTTCTTCTCTGATCTGATAGCTTTCTACATGCAACCCCAAAACAGCAGCATAACAGAATCTTACCACCCCTTGTTTGCTGGAAATTTTTAAAACCCAAACGATATGATTTTTAACACATAAAGGACTAATTCTGAAGGAATTCCTTTTATTTCTATACTATATAAGAGCACAACTATGCCTTTCAGTACCATAAAGGAAAGAAATAGAAACTCCTTCAAAACTAGACCTTTGGTTGCCTAAGACCTTTTTAAAAAAGATAAATATGTTTTCTAGTACATAAAGGGAAAGTGGTGAAGGGTTGTTCTCGATGGACTTTTTTACCTCTCTCTCACAATGGACAGGCATGCTTTTCCTGGGATCCTTGGATCTCAGGGCTTCAGATATGTGCACTATTAATGGCCTCTGTATCATAGGCGACTACTTGAAGGAGACTGAGGGGGCCCAAGACTAATGCTTACACATGGTGAGACATATGTTACTAATCCAGGAGGAGAAAATAAATTTTAATAAACAACCACAGAAGCTGGCCATGCCATCCTGTCTGCTACAAGAACATGCAAACTTCACATTCAGAAAAATATTTATTTGTTGTCTTTAGGCTTTTTGCAACCGGAGTCATAAACAGCAAAAAAGGACATGGTATAGCCTTCTGAGGACCGTACTGCTTCAGAATGCAGGTGGAACATCCTCCATGGAATGCTGTAAGCTGTTGCTCATGGAACACAAGCACAGATAGGAGCTGCTTTATGTTGAATCAGACCCTGATCAGTGTTGGTACCGTCTACTCAGAGTGGCAGCAGCTCCCCAGGGTTTCAGGTAGAGGTCTTTCACATCACCTCCCACCCAATCCTTTTAGCTGGAGATGCTGGGTATTGAACCTGGGACCTTCTGCATGCAAAGCAGATCCTCTGCCATTGAGCCATGGCCCTCCCCAATCTTCTCTCCCACCCGTCTTCTCTGATCTGATAGCTTTCTTTTTTGTTGTTCAGTCGCACAGTCGAGTCCGACTCTTCGCGACCCGATGGACCACCTCCCGCCAGGGCCTCCTGTCTTCCGCCGTCCTCTGAAGTTTGCTCAGTTTCATGTTCGTTGCATCTATGACACTGTCTAACCATCTCAAAGACATGGTTAGACAGTGTCATCGATGCAACGAACATGAAATTGAGCCAACTTCAGAGGACGGCGGAAGACAGGAGGGCCTGGCGGGAGATGATCCATGGGGTCGCGAAGAGTCGGACTCGACTGTGCGACTGAACAACAAACCATCTCATCCTTTGCCATCCCCGTCTTCTTTGACCTTCAATCTTTCCCAGCATCAGGGTCTTCTCCAGTGAGTGCTCCCTTCTCATTTGGTGGCCAAAGTATTTGACCTTCAGTTTCATTATCTGGCCTTCCAGGGAACAGTCAGGGTTGATAGCTTTCTACATGCAAGTAATTTTATTATGTGAGGAACATTCAAACATGACCTTCCCACCCACACTCTGAAGTGGTTACTCAAGATTTGCTTCATGTAAATGTGCAGGCTGGCTCAAACATCTTGCATCTCAGTGCTACCATTTTAACCAATACTGCTACTCCAGTTAGCAAGCTAATGCACTATCTACTTTTGATACTGTTGGGATCAATGAGGAATTTGCTACTGATAGATCAGCAGTGCACCCAAGTAAAGGTCAGTCAGTTCTTCTTTGGTATCATCCGACTTCCAATGAGGCAGCACACTTACTGTTCCTGGCCTAGGATAAGGCACTCTTCCTTGGTAGGGAACCCACTGATAGTTAGGTCCATCTCGGTGAGCATACGGACCCAGGAACACTCGCCTCACATCAGTCATGCTGAACATGCACACTGCTGATCCTTTGAAGATGTTGCTAGAAAAAGAAACAGTGGATATGAGAAATGAAAGATAACTGTCTCCACATTAGCTATTAATTATGGCACCACAGAACATTAGAAATATCTTTTTGGCATTCTTCATTTTTGCTGTAAAACAAAACCCTCACAAGCTCTGATAAAGATACATAACAGGGAAAGGTCTTTGAAGATGAGGTTAATTTAAATAATTCACTTGGGGAGCATTATATATTATTTACTTTCCCTTTTCCTGGAACAATAGCTTTTGCCTCCCAGGCCAATCCAGGCTGGAGGGGCATAGAGAGGATCAGCTACATGCTGTGTTTGTAAGCCATGCAAGCAACAGGCCTCTGAAGGGGCCTGGTGCTGCTTGTGCAGTTTGCAAATTACCTCATATGATCACAGCATTGATGTGGCTCAGGGAAAAGCAAAGGGGAACAACTTTATTGCCGGCTGAAACTTGTGGTTGAAAACAGAAAGTCTACATTCAGGAGGTCAAAGACAATAAAGACTCCTCAGGTCCTAATATATTGCAACCAATATGCAGAAAATCACACACATTCATTCCAGCTGTGTGGACAGAGCCTTCAGGGTGATTAAGTACCTTGCTCATAAGGACAGTCCAGTTCCATAAGCTATGGCATCTACTGGTTTCTAGGGATTCAAAGGTCAAGGAAATGTCTCCCCTTTTAAATGACCATCTTAACAAAGAAAGCTTTTTAAAACAGCCTGTCCCCACAAACATCCTTACAAGTAAAAAGACATACTCTGTACCTGGAGGTTGTAAACACTCCATAGATCACTGGATTTTTAGGGTCTTTTGAGTTCATTAGAAATACATCCTCTGTCAAAAGAAAGAAATGAAAAAAAAGAAACCTAGTCAGTTACATAAGGAGCATACAGCTGGATGGAGGGTTATTTTGCATTCCACAATTATTTTGGTCACTTACGGAGCTCGTCAAAATGTGTATCAATGCCACTGGGCCCTGGGACAGAACACATGAGGCGGGCTTTGAGGAATGTTGTCCACTTGTTAACAAGACTTCTGTGGCCACCATAGTCATTCTAGAAAAAGGACATTGCATTGCAGGAGGTTAGAAGAGGAGAAGCTGAAACCAGGTCAGGCTAGTGAACTGTGAACCACTGTTCCCACCCCCAACAGATTCCCCAGGAAAAGAGTCAGGGAGGAGCTGTGGGCACCTGAACTGACTTGTACTGGGGGTGGGAGATCTCCTACCCCCAGGGGGTGTTGCCTGCCAGCACTCCAGCAGCAGCAGGAGAAGAAAATAAAAATGCTGTCAGTGATGGTAGGATGTCACTTTTGAGAAAAACGCAGAAGTGATGTCACACCTCTCTACGAATCACCAGAAACGCAACAGTTTTACTGCATTCAGACCTGAACAGTCAAACCTACCAGCAACAGGAATGAAAGCTGAAGCCACACGGTATTGCCCTCCCTGTCAGCACCATTCTTAGTTACGACTGTCTATGCCTCCTGCCCATGACTGCCTGCCCTCTGAAAAGTGTCTGGCAGCCAGAGGTGGAGGAGGATGGATGGCGGCATGAGAGAGTATAGCTGGCAAGAAGGTCAAGTCTGCAACGCAATACAAACAGAACGGGGGCAGACTCAGTGAAGCTATATTGGCACTTCTGGTTCCCACTTGAAGACGGATTCATAGAAACATAGAGCTGGAAGGGACCTCAATGGTCATCTAGTCCAACCCCCAGCACAGTGCGCGAAATTCACAGCTACCTCTCCCATTCCACTTCCCCAGTGACCCCTGCTCTTTGCAAGTGTAATGGAAAAAAATAAAATAAAAAATCCTCCAGGATCCCTGGCCCAATATGGCTTGGAAGAAAATTCCTTTATGACCATGAAGTGGTAATCAGGATTACCCTGGGCATATAAGAAAGGGCCACAAGAGCCAAACACTGGCTCAACGCTTCCTGCCCTCCCTTCTCACAATCTGCCTAAATACACAGTGAGTCATACAATCCATACTGCTGTCCAGAGGTCATTTCGGGGGGGGGAACGCGGGGGATCGCAGTTCCCTGGGTGAGGTACGGGGGGCGGGGCACATGACAAAGCCCCGCCCCCTGCTTCTGGCTGCTCCGCTTCCGGCCCTCATTCAACCAGGTGGAGGCAGGAGAAGAGGGAGGATAAGTTGCTTCCTCCCTGCCTCTCCCCACCCCTGCCTGCCTGAGGCCAGGGAGGGCCTTCGCGGGGCTTCCTTGCACTCCCGCCGGCCTTGCAGGTCCACCGCCGGGCCCCTCATGGGGCTCGGCAGTGGAGCTGCAAGGCCGGCGGTGGCGGCCGGGACCATTGGGGGTGGTGTGTGTGGCCTTATGACACACTTCCGGTGATGTCAGGGTGTGTGGCATATGCTAATGAGTTATGCTAATGAGTTCCCCTAGCTCTTTTTCTATGAAACGACCCCTGCTGCTGTCAGATAGCCATCTAGCCTCTGCTTAAAAATCTCCAAAGAAGGAGAGCCTACCACCTCCCAAGGAAGCCTGTTCCACTGAGGAACCTCTCTAACTGTCAGGAAGTTCTTACTAATGTTTAGCTGAAAACTCTTTTTATTTAATTTCAATCCACTGGTTCTGGTCCAACCTTCAGGGGCAACAGAAAACAACTCCGGTCTGTCCCCTATATGACAGCCCTTCAAATATGCATTTGTACGCATCATCACCATAACACTTCTGCTCTGCACATGACTACATTCTACTGGGAACTATTATGTCAAGTAATCTATGAATTCTTCTACAAAACTCCTACAGGGATAGAGGCAGATGGAGGAGGAGGACTAATGATGGGCTCCAGACAATCTGTTGTTTGCTTTCATCACACTTTGATACTGGAGTAGGCTTACTATATGAGCACTGGCAACCACTGGGTATATTTTGGGGCAGGGAAGTGACATCACAGCACTCTAGGAATCTCTATAGTTTTTTACAATAGAGATGAATTCCTAGAGTGTTGTGACATCACTTCTGGATGGAAGGCGGAAGTGTCATTAGGGAGGGAGGGTATATCCCCCAGTGATATACATAGAACCAAAGAATCATAGAGTTGGAAGGGACCTCCAGGGTCATCTAGTCCAATCCCCTGCACAATGCAGGAAATTCACAAATACCTCCCCCCCACACCCCCAGTGACCGCTGTTCCATACCTAGAAGATGGCAAAACACTTCCAGGATCCCTGGCCAAAATGGCCTGGAGAAAAATTGCTTCCTGACTCCAAAGTGGCAATCAGCATTTCCCTGGGCATGTAAGAAAGGGCCACAAGAACTAAGCACTGATACATCCTGCACTCCCTCTCATGATCTGCCTAAGTTCACAGAATCAGCATTGCTCTTAGATGGCCATGTAGCCTCTGTTTGAAAACCTCCAAAGAAGGAGAGCCCACCACCTCCCAAGGAAGCCTGTTCCACTGAGGAACTGCTCTGTCAGGAAGTTCTTCCTAATGTTTAGCTGAAAACTCTTCTAATTTAATTTCAACCTGTTGGTTCTGGTCTGACCTTCTATGGCAACAGAAAACAACTCCATAACATCCTGTATATGACAGCCCTTCAAGTACTTGAAGATGGTTATCATATCACCTCTCAGTCGTCTCCTCTCCAGGCTAAACATACCCAGCTCCTTCAACCCTTCCTTAGTGATACCCACTTGAATGTGGAGTAACACAGGGGGCGATCCTCTTACCAATATTGTTTAACATCTATATGCGCCCCCACACCCAGTTGGTCAAGGGGGTTGGGCCGGGTTGCCACCAATATGCAGATAACACCCAGCTCTATCTGTGGCTGCATGGCTGCCCAGACTCTGCCCTGGAGAATCTCACCAGGGTGCATTTAGTAGCTGTAAGAACTCCACATAGAGATTGGTCCACGTATAAAAAGTTTTTAAGCCTATTGAAGGGCTAGTCCCAGATTTAGTAGCTGTAAGAACTCCACATAGAGCTGCATAGCAACATAGAGAATGTTCTGTTCATCTGCAAAATAGGATTGAACACATAATGGTTGCTGGTAATCACCTCTGATGAAGTTTTCCATCGAAACGAAGTTGAAGCTGGACTCTTCATAATTTGTTGATACTGTTGGACTGTAAATTGTTGGAAAGCTGTTGACACTGTGAACTGTTGGTTTGTAATATTGTATGTCTCATAAATGTATTTCCATTTGCACATTTATTCTTCTTGAGAAACCCATGCTGGCTCTTAATAATCACAGCTGTCCTTTCTAAGAGCTTAAGGACTGACTGACTGATTATCTATATATCTAATACTGAACTGGCCCCCTCTGTGCGGATCCTTAAATCTGGACATCGGGGGCCCCTGGGGGGGAGGGAGAGGTTTGTGCACACGTGGGGCAGTCCCCACGTGTGCACAAAAACCCTAAATTGTGACAAAAGAATCGGGGGGATGTTTAAATCCCCCCGAAAGTGCCAGAGCGTTCCGTGCGCATGTACACGGAACGCTTGGCGACCCAGGCTGTCACCGCCGCCACTTGGAAGGGAAGCAGTGAGTGGCGAGCAGCTGATCGGCCCTCGGTTCAGAGCCGGGGGGTGGGGGGTGG